TTTTAAATTGTCTAAAACCTTTTGATGGTTTATTGTTAAACGAATGAAACCTTAAAAGGTTCTGAATCTATGCTAGAACCTTAGATAGTTCCTTATAACCCGGTTTTTTTTTACAGAGTATACATAGTGATACATAATCTAAGGTTTTGTGCGTCGATATAACCGTTAATAACAGCAGATTTGGTGTTTATCACAGCTAATACGCAATTATTATTTACCGAAAGTTAATCTGATCGAGACTACCATATTTTAGTCGGAAATAATCTGTCAATCGTCACGTCTAGCTTGCTTACTGTCTGGATAAACTCATTTGTCTGTCATGATCTACCGAATGATCACGTATGAGACAATATTCATTCATAGCTGAATATGTTTTCTGCAGTTTTTCTAATATTATTTAACGTCAAGATTACAATTAACTTTCAACAATATATGTTTTTTTATTATACATGGCTTATCGACAGTGTCCTGGTAAAAAAGGATCTCTCATTCTGATATTTGACTAAATATCCTATTTCCTGTCCCATGCAAACGACTGGAATCTAGTTTAACGATTTTATCCATTGGCGGTGCACCATGTAGGCGAAGGGAGCCAACTGCCTCCCCTGAACAACATTATGGGAGGCAATAAAAAGTTATTGCCTCGCCTAACTACTACACCGTTTGATAATTCTTATTGTCTTCTCTTATATACACATTTTTTGACAGCTTTTATTAGAAAAAACATCTAGCCATTGTGGGACTTCCCTTCTTTTCTACAAATTGTGTTGATAGATGCCACACCAGCACTACGTTTTACTTTGAGAACATATGTTTACAAAAACAAAAGGCGACTTGTACTGATAACTAACTCGAGACGGAAAACATCGGAAATCGATACAATTCTGCAGGTTCCGCGTCGGAAAACAGCTGGATAGCGCCGGATATTCGCCGCTTCTTTGCTGCCGGATTCCGGCCGGACTGCACCAGGAAATTTCTTACGTGTTCCAGTCATTTCCTTAAACAGGAAACGCCATCGCTCTTTTCCATTCCTGTCAGAGGATCTGCAGAGGAACACACATGAAACTTTCCGACGTGTTCCAACATTTCCCGTTTATCAAATATGGAAATATCCTCCTGATATCCTGTGCACGGATCCTGACCGGATCACACGCTTTAGTTTCCAATCTAATTCTCTCAAACTCATCACGAGGAACCATCAAACTTTCCTTAACTTCCGATCGATAAATTTTGCAGGATACTGCCTATAAGGTTTCCCACGAAGACCGCCGACTTCCCGACTCCGGAACCTCGATAACCGGAGCCTCCGAGAAAACGTCGGCCGCCATTTCCGTAATAATTCACCATTTTCCAGCACCGAGTCTGTCGGATACGTCGTGTTCCGACCAAACACGACGCCCGGGAACTTTGACGACGGGTTCCACTCGTAACCACACCGCCTTACAAAAAATCTTTTCTAACCCCCCAATTCAAACCATTTCGCGCTCAACAAAACCGAATAATCAACTTAATTTCATATTTTCGTGACATATTCCCCTCCGGTCCACCTAAGCCTTGCCACAGAAATACTTCGAAGTACTTCCTACACTTTCTATCTGTACAAGTTATATTTAGCTAGGAAGGACTTATTTGATCGGACGAAATGGTGCAGTTTGTTACACTCAAAAAAAATCCGGCGTTTAATCAACCCTCAAAAAGGGTTTATGACTGAAAAATATGTTCATCAACCTGGTCTACCCCTAGATCAACCCTTTTGTCTTCAAAAACCCACGCAGGGTGTGTTGTACGTTGCGAGCGGATAGCCCCTTGCT